GTTTTAATTTTTTTATTGGAGCAGGGGAAGGAGCACAGGGAGCGGGACAAGCAGACTCCATGCTAAGCACAGCGCCCAACATGGAGCTCAGTCTCATGACCCCGAGATCATGACCTGAGCTGAAACCAAGAGTCAGATGCTCAACTGATTTCCGACTGAGCTGCCCAGGCACCCCAACATGAGACTGAATTGCATAGATCTAAAGATATGCAGATTTTTTTTTTAATTTTTTTAAATATTTTATTTATTTATTTGACAGAGATCACAAGTAGGCAGAGCAGCAGGCAGAGAGAGGGGGGGAAGCAGGCTCCCCGCTGAGCAGAGAGCCCAATGTGGGGCTCAATCCCAGGACCCGGAGATCACGACCTGAGCCGAAGGCAGAGGCTTAACCCACGGAGCCACCCGGGTGCCCCAGATATGCAGATTTTTAAATAAATACAGCACAGTCCTGTATTTGTTAAAAGTAACAAGTATTTTCCTTATGATTTTCTTAATAGTTTCTTTTGTATAGCTCACTTTATTTTAAGAATACAGTATATAATACATATAATATATAAAATCTGTGGCAACTGACTGTTTATATTACCAGTAAGGCTTCCAATCAACAAAAGCTCTTAGCAGTTAAGTTTGGGGGTAGTCAGAAGTCATACACAGATTTTTGACTGCGTGGGGGTCAGCCCTCCAAACCCCCATGTTGCTCCTAGGTCAACAGCATATGTACAGTGTGAACCTGGCTGTATTGTTCTCCAGGCTGCTCTTTTTTCCCCACACAGTGGGATGTCTTGGGAATACTTCGTGTATAACAAAAGTCTCCCTGACTCTTCTGACCCGCCAGGCAGGAGTCCACTGAATGGATGTACCACAGTTTATTTAGCGATGATCCAGTTGAGGGAACTTGAGGCGTTTTCCTGCTTTTCAGTGGGATGATGGACATTCTTGCACAAGCCAATGTGTGGGTGTTTCTCTGGATCAGAAAGTGTGAATTCCCTGTGGTGGGGATTGCATGGAGGCCCAGGCATCTCACCCAGGTCAGGGCATGAGAACCCTTCCTCTGTCTTTATGAGCGGATCCTGCTTAGACCCCGCAGGATGGCGACACTTGACCCCGAAGAGGCAAGAAACACCCTAGGCTATGAAAAGCCAGCATCCCACCTCCAAAGCCTGGCGCCCCACGCAGGAGAATTGGGGGGTGTAGGATCTTCCTCCCCCAGAGCTCCCCTCCTCAGCACTGTCGCACTCCCCTCACTGCCAGCCCAGGCCCAGCGGGTAACAGGATCCAGGTCAGCTGGTGGAGTATGAGGTAGCGTCTAGCTGAGCGCCATGGTATTTTATGAAGCCCGAAATGTGATCGCTACTGTTGTCACACTTTAGCACCCCCAACAATCCCCTTGCAAATGAGAAAACCAGAGCCTCCCACATGCCTTTCCCCTGACATCAGGGAAAGCACAGGGAACCCTGCCCAGGGGCCTGAGCCCGTGTGACCCCCGGAGCAGCTTTCGAGCTTGAGGCAAGGACTAGAGAGCAGAAGAGGTGTTTTTCCAATTTCAGGCAAAGCCATGGACAGGGGGTAGAAGTCTGCTACTAATTTTGTTTTCTCTGTGCCTGGGTCTTCAAAGTCAGCGTTGGCTTTTAAAGACCATTTTCGTGAACATATTAGGCTTTCTGGTCGAGGACCCTTCCATCTAGGTAAGATTTCTGCAGCTCAGAGGTCTCCAACTAGCACGCCCACTGGGGCCAGGTAACGTGAAGGGCAGAAAACCCAGACAAGCCTGCAGAGCCCTGGAAAGGGCCTGGGACGGATGAATGCAAGCGCCACACTGCCAGAGCCTGTAAAGTCTGAGTAGCCGAAAATCTGGAAAGACAGAGGAAGAGAGTGAGAACAAGAAGGGAGAAGGGGGAGAGAAGGCGAGGAGAGAAAGAGAGGTCTCCCGGGTTTACATATTGGCTATTGTTCCAAAAAAAAAGTTTCAAGCATAGCGTGGGCTGAGTGAGCCCGGTCTCCAGGCCAGCTCGCAAGCTCTTCCCTAAGTGAGCTTATCAGCACAGAAGAATCGTCTGCCTGGTTCCTTTACCCTTCGACAGCAGCACTGTCCACTAGAATTTTCTGTGATGATGGGCATACATGCACTGTCTGGTACCGTAGCCAGTGGCCACATGTAGCTACTGAGCACTTGAAATAGGCCTAAGGAACTAAATTTTGTATGCTGTTGAATTTAAGTTTATTTAAAAATAATTATCAATAGCCACATGTGGCTAATCACTCCTGTCTTAGCGTGACTGTAGAACCTTTCAAGCTGGGGTGTACCGTTGTGTTCTGCTATTTTAGGAAAGGTCTTGGGTAGACCTGAGACCACCAAATATTGATGAGAATTCCAGGCCCTTGGGAAGAAAGGAAATGCAGAATGAGGAACAGTAGAGGTTTGGGTGTAAGCTAGCTCAAGAGCGGTCACTCCGTAGCCCCAGTTTTTTTCCCAGTGCTCCCCAAAGAGCTTCTCAGTTGGGTTCGCCACTTAACATCTGCCATGTTCTTTGCCCTCTGCCCCTACACCCACCTGCCCGCATGATGGAACTTCCCCATGGCCCTTTCCATCCAGGCCTGTCAGACCACGCTGCTACCCAGGCCCTGGCGTTGTCCCAGGCCCACGGGATGTGAGAGGTCCCAGGTTTCAGGACTTGAGATCATACTTTGCCACAGGACTGTGGGCCAGCGTGTGCGAGGGACTCTGGAAGCAAAGCTCACCTTCCAGCAAACCCCTTTGCAATCCAAAGCCCATTCAGGGGACCAGAGAGAGAACAGTGGCCATACCACCCCTTTCTCCCAGGCTCCAGCCTTGATCCCCACAGAGTAGCCCAGGCCGCCCCAAATGCCACTGTCCCCACCCCCACATCTCCATAACAACATGGTTACCCCTATATTAATTAAAAATTAATGAGGGGAGGGGTTCTCATCATTCCCATCCCCTGCAGATCTCCTATTCTCCAAGATAAATTCAAGCCTCTTCCTTAAGTAAAAAGAGATGTGCTCAAAACGTTGACAACACCATTTTTTCCCCAGATTCTACCCTCCCATCAACCAGCCAGAGATGTCCCCACCAGTTTTTTTCTTAGAGGTCAACCTCAGAGTTCCATGTGCTTCCCTCTCCCTTGTAGTGTTTTCCAGGAGACACCTGCCTCCTGAAATTACCTTGCAACCAAAATGTGGACATTCCTTAATCTTAACACAGTAATAGAAACGACCATTCATGCCACACCTGCCGCGTTCCAGCCCCGGCTCTAGGTGCATTCAGCCCAGCACCTCCCTTCTCCTCAGGCCAAGCCGGTGATGGAGCTTCCTCTGTCTCGCATTTCCCAAGGCCACCTTGGAGGCACAGGGTGGTTATGCCTCTGGCTTGAGGTCACACAGCCGGGAGGTGGTCAGATTCCGGAGCCTGGGCTTCACCAGGAGCCGGAGCAGGCACAGCACGCTCGCGGTTTTCTCCTGGTCCTCCTGCCACCTGGATGGACTTCCGGCGGGGGCAGAGGTGACCCCTGTGGCTGGATGTTGCGTGTAGCTTCATGGAAGCGGTTATGTCACCTGGGTGCAAAGTGACAGAAATCCAACTCCACTAGCTCAAACCGAAGAGCCCAGGGAGTCGTGTCCTGTGGTGGCTGTAACCGATCACCACACACTCAGTGGTTTAAGCTGAGTGTTCCCTTATCGCTCTGGAAGCCGGCTGTCCAGAAGCAGTCTCGCTGGGCTGAAGACGCTGGCAAGGCTGGTTTCCTCTGGAGGCTCTGAGGGGAGGAGTCTGGGCCTTTTTTGGTGTCTAGTGGGTACCTGTATTTCCGGGCTTGTGCCGTCCCAATGGCATCCCAATCCTATTCTCTCCGTCGTCAAATACCCCTCTGCTTCTTACTCACAGGACCCCTGGTAATTACACTTAGGGCCCACCTGGATAATCCAGAATAATGTCCCCATCTCAGGACCTTTAACTTAATCCCTTTCGCCATATAAGGAGCCTGGAATTGGGGCATGGACATTTGGGAGGTGGGGGGGGTATTAATTACTCAGGTTACCACGGTCAGGGTGGTCTGGTTTCTGGTTTCACCTGGGGCTGGATCCTGGGGATCAAATACTGTGATCAGGGCCTCATCCCTCTCCAGCTCTCAGATCCGCTTTTCTCCAGGCTGAATCCTACCACCTGGCAGCTGCGGTAAAGGAGAGACCCCCTCCCCCAAGGTCTCAGCCAGAGTCCCGGGCCGGCCCTCACTGGTCTAGTTTAGACCACATGTTCCCCTTTCACATCACCACTGAGGCTAGAAGGCTCCTGGGTCCCTCTGATTGGTTGGGCCTGGGTCACGTGCCCACCTCCGTCTTCTCCTCCCCTCGGTCTTAACTCACCTGTACTAAGGTGTTTCCCCAAAGAGAACTGAGCCGGGTGTGAGTGGTGGAGAGCAGCAGGGCACGGGAGTCTGTGGAATGGCAAGCCTCGTACATTACACATTATGATAAGTGCCCGATCAGTGCTGGCCACAGATCACGGGACACAGAGGGGGGCTGGGGAAGGGGGTGCCTCTGGAAGTGAATGCTTGATCGATCCAAGGTTCCCTGTGCGGATGAAGGCAGAAGAGCCTTCCACGCAGAGGACATACCTTGATTAAGGCAAAGGCTTCAACTGCAGGGCTGGGATGCCCATAGGTCCTCACATACCCAAGGGCAGAGGCAGGTGGTCTTGTTTTGTGCCTGTCCTCCCAGTGCAATCTTAACAGCAGTCCCTTTACTTGCAAAACAGTCTGGGTGCATGGCCACTCCCCCTCAACAGCCAACCTTGTTTACAAGGGTCCCAAAGGCAACAGAAGGCATGGAACTTCATGGGAGGTCACCTAACCTTTAGGGGCAAAGCTCACACTAGAATCCAGGACTCCTGACTCCCACACCAGTGCTCAGCTTATGAAACTGACTCGCTCTCAGAGACTACACTCACACTTCCTCTTTTTCTCCTCTTGCCACATTCTCCGTAGGATTGTGACCAGATCCACGTTGACGACGTCTCATCTGATGACAACGGGCAAGACCTGAGGTAGGAATCTGGGGAGCCCAAACTGCCCCCTTTTGATTGGTTATTGAGCTTGCCTTCCACCAGAAGTGGAGAGGAGGAGCGGGCTGGGTTATGAGGGTGAGTGTACCTGCCTGGGTCAGAGCCCCAGGTCGCAGCCCCAGCCTCCAGCCTGCAGCCTCTCGCATCATTTCCAGAGACTCTCTATGACTCTGCTTATGTTCACCTCTCGGCGGTTTCTTGTCAGCTACCTAAAGTAATGGATGCATACTGGTTAAAAAAAAAAAAAATCAAACACCACTTCTGACCTTGCCTCCCAGAATCACCACCACCAAGAGTTTGGCACCCCTTCTTCAAAGGCTTGATTGCTTCATTAGCATACATATATTATTTAATATAAATGTCGATACAGTCGATACTCAAAAAAATATTTCTTGACCAAGTAAGCGGTATGTCTAGTTTCTAGGGGAAAACACGGGTAGGACATGGGTTCCAGAAATAAGGTATCCCACTGCTCAAAACGAGACCGCTTTCAGAGGAATGTGGCTGGAATGTTCCAAGCCTGCCCCTGAGAAAACCTTATAAAAATGGAGCCATAGTTAATCTGTGCTTATCCAAAATTATCCCAGCCCAGTAACTCTCGCCCAATCAAAATATTACTAGACTGCATGGTGTTTTGCTTATGGGACCAGGAACTTAGTGTTTGCTTCCTCAATGTGTCTTCCATCTTACTCCAAAGAAAGAAATCAAAGCTTCTGTCACTGGGCCCTGGAGGTCTTTTCAAAGCCCAGCAGTACTAGGAGGGATAGGCAGGCGCCTGCTTCTTATTAATTAGCCATTCTGAAAATCCCTCACAGTCAGGACTGGCAAGGAGCAAGGCTCCAGTGCCAGCCGGGGCTTCTCTATTTGTGGAGTAAATAAACCCCAGATCAAGGTTAATTGTGCCCTTTCCACGACGTCATAGCTGGGAACCACTCTTCCCTTCACGGCAACGAGCAACCAGGATTCCGTGTTTGTAACATCTCCCCTGTAGCTGGCTGGCGTGGGACTGAGAGCAGGTTCCACTGAAGGCCGTCTCATGCTGAGCTGTTTGGGACTTCACTTCCAGAACCATCCAAGGATGGTTTTTCCCATAGACACCAAATTCTCCATGCATTCATTTGAGAAGTCTCTTTTGAGTACCTACTGTGTGCCGGGCACCAAGCATCAAATACCCTTTCTTGTTTACTTCAGTTCACAGCAGAAACCAACCTTGGTAATGCCCTTATTTTGCACCATGCCCTATCCCAGGTGTCTTTTGTGCATCAACTCCCTCATCTTCACGGTTACCGCAGGGAGCAACACATGCTCTTCTCTTCCTCCCCATTTTACAGCTGGGGAATGGGAGGCACAGAGAGGTTAAGTAACCTGCGGAACCTCACACAGCTGGTACGTGGGGGTGGTAGGGTTCATGAACGTCCTTCCCTACCCTCCTGTTCTCTGGGCAGAACACCCTCCCCCAGGGTGTCCTCGGAGTTTTTAGCATGTTGTGTTCTTTCTCAAGAACCACTTATCTGGCCTTTGCACACCACTCCGAGAGGGGTCCATAAAGCGTAGTCCTGGGCTCCCTTCGTAACTTAAAGGAAACTTCCACCATGTCCCGAGCCCTTGATGTCCTGCCACTAGGGCAGGAGGATGTCCTCAAATTCCTTGCAGCTGGAACTCACTTAGGTGGCACCAACCTTGACTTCCACACGGAACCGTACATGCACAGAGGGAAGAGTATTGGGGCAGGGCCCCTGGGTGGCTCAGTCATTAAGCATCTACCTTCGGCTCAGGTCATGATCTCAGGATCCTGGGATCGAGCCCCGCATCAGGCTCTCTGCTCAGCAGGGAACCTTCTTCTCCCTCTCCCGCTCCCCCAGCTTGTGTTCCCTCTCTTGAGCTCTATTAAATAAATAAAATCTTAAAAGGAAAAAAAAAAAAAGCATTGGCGCGTACATCATAAATCTGAAGAGAACGTGGGAGAAGCCCCACAGGCAGCTCGTCACGTGGTCGCCGTTGAAGACCTGGCTGATGGCTGTGTCCTAGCCTCTGGGAATACTGGCCGGTGAGCTTTGTCGTGCTGCTGCTGCCACGGGGGCCAGTCGCATGGCAGGCCACCTCCCTCCCAGAACCTTCATCAACCAGATCCACGCAGCCTTCCAGCAGCCATGACTGATCCCGGAGCTGATGCCCAGCCTCTCACGGTGGTCAGCCCTGGGATCAGTAGCCACCAGAGGGGCCACTCTGCCTACGATGGCTCCGTGTCACAGACTCTCCCCCGCGCCGTGTGGACCCTGCCACCCCATCCAGCAACAAGGGAGCTCCCGCGGCGGGTCCGACGTGCTGGGTCTGCCGTGGCGGGTGCTGGCCCAGGAGGTCCCGCATGTCCGTGGCACCATCTCCTGTGAGCACCCGAGGGAGGTCACACCTGATCGTGGCTTCTGCAGAGACTTCTGAAGAGACTGAGAAGGGAGAGCAGGCCGCTGCTGGAAAGGCCGTGACCTAGGAGGAATTTCGGGGTGAAGGACTGTTCTGGCTCCCAAGTTCACTGCTGCTTGACACGAGGCTGCAGACGGGTCCTCAGAGTCTATCTCTGAGGCCCTGAGGATCAAGTCACCTAGGCCAGTGTCCTGGCCTGCATGTCCCAGGGAGCCCCCAAGGGCCTGGCCTCTGCTTGAGTAAGGCTGAGCCCCGGGCACAGTACAGGGGGTCACAGTGGCGTGTCCCATCACGCTGCGGTCGGGCGCTGGACACAGCAGATGCCGCACAGGGAGCGTGACCCAGCACACTTTCCAAATGCCCTTTGATCTCCGCAGCAGCAGGGCCCTGAAGCCCAGGGACGGACGTGAGATACAATGTCCAAGTTTTGCTGCAGCAGGAATGATTTTTGTAAAAAATAACGTGTCTTTATTTCCACTCTTCAACTCATCGTAGAACATCTAGAAAGTTCGAAGTAGTACAAGAGGGGGGAAATCAGCCAGACTCACTCCCTGAAACAGCCAGAGAACCACACTGGCCTGTCTCCTCCTGCTCTTCTTTTCCAGGAAGAGACTCAGTGGGGGTTGGGGGCTGGGGGGGCTGGCACAGAGGAAGAGAGAGACCATCTCAAGCGGGCTGCACGCCCATAGTGGGGCCCCATGCGGGGCTCGATCTCACAACTCTGAGATCACGACCAGAGCCAAAATCAAGAGTCCGACACTGAACCGACTGAGCCACACAGGTGCCCCTGGGAAGAGACTCATTTTTGAAGCTTTGGGTCATGCTCTACACACATCCCTTGTCACGCTCTGGTTTTACCCTGCAACGTTGTGATTTTGCAAACCAGCAAGGCTTCTGGCGGAGGGGAAAGAAGATGGGGGTCTCTGGTACGTTGGGGTTTTCATTCTCACGTGCTGGTTGCTGTCAGCGGCGACTCGCCCCCACTCCCCCGTTCGTGTCCCCAGCTGCCGCCTCTGTCATCAGCAACGTGAGACACTTGGACTCGTCCCCAGTCAACACGGAGCACTGCTTAGGCCGGCATGCTGCATCCGGACCGGAGGATTGTGTCTGCAAAGCACCAGCAATCAGCTCTGCCTCATTTAACAAATCAAAAAAATCAGGCTATGATTATTTCTGTGAAAGACAGGGAGATGTCACAGCGTGGGAAGAAAGGGTTGGCAGCCAGGCCTTCCAGGGAACACGGAGCAGCGCTGATTTGGGGATCGACGTAGCGGGAACTAACATCTTTCCTTCTGGACTCTTCTGTCGGGATGAACCAGCTGCAATCGTTTTTTTGGAATTCCCTTCCAGCTTCCATTCTAAAGGGGGCGGGGCTTATCCTAGCTTGGCCCGTGCACGGGCTTCACGCCCACCGCCCACCATCCCTGTCTCTCCCCTCCCTCCCCGCAGCACGTACAACTTCTCCGCCGACGGCTTCCACAGCTCGGCCCCGGGAGCCAACATGTGCCTGGGCTCCGGCGTCCACGGCGGCGTGGACTGGATGAGGAAGCTGGCCTTCCGCTACCGGCGGGTGAAGGAGATGTACAACACGTACAAGAACAACGTCGGTGGTGAGTGGTTGGAGCCCGCCCCCACTTCGGGGCGGGCGCGAGGGGGGGGCGGGGGTTGGAGTGGGGTGGGGGACTGCCCTGCTCAGGTCGCACCCCTGGCCGAGGCAGGGTCAAGGGCAGCCGTGGTCCCTTGCGTGCGCAGACAACAGCTTGCTCAGTGCGCACCTTCGGGGCACACTCTGGAAGGGGACACGAGCATTTCCACGTCTTCACTCGGGGTTGTGGGGGAGACAGAGGAACAGACGACGCAGCCTGCCCGGGATCCCGCAGCCCACGAGCAGTGGAGCGGGTTTGGGGCCCGGCCTCCCACCCCACGGCTACATCAGGTGTGGTCTGAGGCTGGGGCGGCCTGGCCACCCGTATTCCAACACATCCTGGGCCACTCCGGCACTCACTGGAGTTGGGGGACCGGTGGCTTCAGCCCCCACTGCTCAGACAGTGGGCTTCGGACCAGCCACGTAAGCATCACCTTTGTTGTCAGACTCTAGGGACCCCCTCCAGGCCACTGGGTCAGAATCGGCATTTTAAACAAGATTCCCAGGTAATCTGTGGAAACGCTGAAGTTGGAGAAGACCTGGAGGCTGCTGGTTCTCATACTGGAACCACCTGGGGCATTTCCAGCTCTGATCTTGGCCTGGCTGCAGCCGGGGTTGGGATCACAGGGTTCAGGCCCTGATGTGCAGTCAAGGTGAAAGCCACCGGCTTCGGCCTCACGAGAGTATTGGTCAGGGCACCGGAACAAGGAGTCTGGAAGGGGCTGTGGGCAAGGCTGGCTCTGTAATGCCAGGCCCTAGATCGCTATTTCTGGAATTCTGTGGGCCAGTGGTTCTTAACAGGAGGTGATACTGCTTCTCCCCCAGGAGACACGTGAGGGTGTTTTGATGGTCACAGTGTGTGGAAGCAGCTACGGGCGCATAAAGGGAAAAGGTCTGAGAAGGCAGCTGGTAGCGTCTGCAAAGCTTCTGGGGCTCCCGCCCCCCGCCCCGGCCCCAGAAAGAATCTCGGGTCTCAAACTGGACAGAACCTACTTCCAGTCCCGATGCCTCCACTCTCTGGCTACCTCCCTGAGCCTCGGTGTCTCAATCTATGAAATGGGGATAAAAGCAATTTTGTCTCCCTGGGTTATGGAAACGTTTGTTAATGGGGACAGAAGTCAAGACTCTGTGCCTGAGGCAGGGACTCAAGTAAACGGTCGCATTGGTCACTGGCTCCTCTCGTTTTGCTTGGGAGTCTGTCAGGTTCTTCTGTGTCTGCCGACCATGACTGTGGTCCTAATGCAGTCCTGGCGAGAACTAGTGTCTACTGAGCACTCAGTGTACGCCAGGCTCTGTTCTGAGGGCTTTTCATCTAATATTTATTCTTTACAACATCCCTATGAAGTAAGTGCTTTCCTCATCTGTGTGGTGTGAAGGTGGAAACTGAGATCAGAGACGTTAAGTAACCCACCCAACATCACACAGCCCACGGGGCAGAGCCACGGTGGAGTCTGAGGCCGGCTTCTTCGCCACCTCTGCCCACACTCCGTGGCCTCTCACACCCGAGTCTGTGGATGGCGAGAGTGAGGCAGAGAGCTGCAGGCTCAGCGGCCCTGATGCAGAGAAAAGAGGGGAGCAGGTGCGCTTGGAGGAGAGGAGAGCGGGATGGAGTCGGCCAACTGAGGCCACCTGCTCCTCATCTAGGTTAAGCCCCAGGAAGCGCCCAGGGCTCCTGTCAGGCTGCTCTGCACTCCCCTAAGCTGAGGGGAAACTGCCCAGTGTGTCAACGGGCGAAGGGAGCCTACAGCGGGCAGGATACCGTGGGGAGCCCCCCTGCCCCCAGCCCAGTTTCTGCATGCTCCCTTCCCCGCTTCTCTCCCCCAACTCTTGCTGCATCACAGAACTAGCCTGGTGAGGGCCGCAGTCTCCAGCCTGGGGGTCACCACACCCCCCAAGAACCCGAGGGTTTGGGAGGTTGTGCTCAGAAGAGAGACATCCCCAAGAAACAGGATGAAAACAGAAAAGGCTTAACAAATCCACATCAGGAGGCAGGGCTGGGTTCAGAGGCCTTTGCCTGATTTTACACCTCCCTCTGCCACGTCCTGTTATAACCCTTGAGCAGGTTACTTAACCCATGTGTGCCTCAGTTTCCTCAGGTGTAAGGTGAGAATAATGATGCTGCCCGACTCCTAGGATAAATATCAGGATAATATGAATTAACACATGGGACTGGCTTGGAACTGTGCCACTGCGCAGTGAGCATTTCTTGAATGTTGCTCTTGTCTGGGGAAGGAGATCAGCCTGGGGAAAAGCTGCAGGTTGGGGGCAAGCAGACAGAAGCTAGAAGCATACTTCCCTAGCAGGTGCAAAGTAGGAGGGGTTGATCAGCTGGCTGCCCGTGGAAGCACGCGTGAAGCCTCTCGTAAACTCTGTGGTCCTGTGCGCCCAGCAGTTTGTATTATTAAGGGCTGTGGGGAAGGTGCAGAGAGAAGGCGAGCCGGAGACCATCTACAGCAGTGTGTCCCAGTGAATCCCTTCTCCCTTGGGCACCAACCGCACGCCAGCCCCTGCAATAGCACCGCGGTGAACAAAACCAGCTCAGTCCCTGCCCTTGTGGGGCCAACAGCATGGTGGGCAAAGCAGACACCGAACACATGATCACACAGATGTGTGTGAAATCCTAGTTGTGACAAGTGCTATGGACAAGAGGTGCAGGGTGTTAGGAGAGTGTAAAATAAGAGACCTGACCAGGACAGGCCTTCCAGAGGAAATGACATTGAAACGGAGTGTAAAGGACTTAGCCAAAAGGGAAGATAAGATATGAAGAGGGGTCTAGGTTCTCAGATGAGGTGTGCAAAGGTCCTGAGGCAGGAATGTACTTGGTGTGTCAGAGGACAAAGTGGAGGCCACTAGGGAGGGAACAGAAGGACGGCAGGGGAATGGCAAGAGAGGAGACCAGGAACTAAGCAGGCACAGGGGCCAGGGCTCTGGACTTTATCTCAAGGGCCCTGATGGCTGAGAGACTTGACAGGTCTAGAGAGCCCTCTGCCTTGGTGCCACACCTGTCTCCACACTTCCTGCGGTGAGCAAGTCTGTTGACCTCACTAAGCCTCAGCTTCTCCACCTGACTTACACAGTGTTATTTGTCAATTATATCTCAATTAAAAAAAAAAGAAAAAATAAAATGTCCACCTCTAGGGTCACTGTGAAAATGAATGAAATAAATCATATTAAAAGCCCAGGCCATACACACAGTAAGCACTCAATAAATGTTTTATTATTCATTTTTTATCTTCACTGTAACAGTATAAATGCTATAATCTGCATTTTTTGTTCATCTGCATATGCAGTGCCTATTACAATACTAAGTACACAGAAGGGACTCCCAAATTCTTTGTTGGATGGATGGGCGGAGGGAGGGAAGGGTGGATGGTGGGTGTGTTGATGAATGGATCAGTTAGGGGCAAGGATGACTGATCAATCAATCCCAAAGTAAGATTAAAATTGCTGGCTAAAGTTGACCTTGGGTACCATCTGATTTGAAACCTCAGGGTACCTGTAGCTAGACTCCCCTTCCCTAACCACCACCCCCCAGACCTCTCCAATGATAAATACCACGTCTTTATTTCCCTTATCCATAGGTTTGATAGGAGCTCCCAAAAGAGAGACTTGGCTTCAGCTCCGAGCCGAGCTGGAAGCCTTGACCGACCTCTGGCTGACCCACTCTCTGAAGGCACTCAACCTCATCAATTCCCGGTAGGTGGGAGCCCCCGTTTGCCTTCCTGCCCTTGAACTTTCTCCCATCTGAGGGCAGGGGTTCCTCCATTTCCATACTTGGAGAATTGGACTCTCCCAGTTCTCACTTGCACACTTTCCCGACCTTTGATAAAGCTGAGGTCTCACACAGAACCGTGGACACCTTGCACCACCGCTGAGCAAACAAGTGCTGAGACTTCTCAGGGTCCAGCAGAGCCAAAGACCTTTGCACGTAGGCTGGTCTGTCCCATCCACTGTTGCCCACAACACCTGCTGGTCACCACAAAGCCCTCTGAAAACCACTGTATAGTGGGCCGCAGATCACCCCGGGGGGCGATTACAAGGTAAGGAGGGTCTGGTTTCATTCCAGGCCTCCCAATAAATTGCCTCTTGCTCTTTAACAAGATCATCCGAGCCAGAGAACAAATAACTCTCTGCACTAGCGTCCAAAAATCTTGTGACCCAGCATGTGAATGGTGACAAGATGCCAGCCCATGAGCCAGCTCCGTCCCACGGATATGTCCTGTTTGATACACATTTTGTCCCAAAGACTGGGAAAAGAATCCATAGCTCCAGATTTCTAGGTTCTGTCAAAATATCAGAACTGGCAGGTGTTCTCCAGTTTGCCCCAGTCCTCACCGCTCCCTGTTGTCCTACACCTGATCCATATTCCTCATTTCTACCCCTGAAAGGTGGCTGCAGCTGTGTGGTGTCCTTACAAGAAGCGTTTGTTTTACTTAAGTATTACATTCTAACTCTGTAAATAATATTACAGGATTGCGTCTCAATGTGCCAGGCAGCCTCGGGCTTAAGAGAGGAATAGCTGAAGGACCTTCGGGCCTCCCCTCGCCTGAAGATGACTTAACCAGAGCTCCAAACCCCACCAGAGCTCCTGCCAACTCCAGGCTCATGCTGCAGGGTGAGGAGGCCTGGCCTTGGTGTTCTGACCTAAGTCTTCTTTGTCCTCAGGCCCAACTGTGTCAACGTGCTGGTCACTACCACGCAACTAATCCCTGCCTTAGCCAAAGTCCTGCTGTATGGACTGGGCTCCGTGTTTCCTATTGAGAACATCTACAGTGCAACCAAGACAGGTAGGGAGAACCCAGCCTCGGGGTGATGCAGGGAGGAAGGGTGAGGCTAGCTCTTCATCCCGCCTTTGGGAAGCTTAAGGAAAACAGCACTAAGGAAGTTAAAGAACTGGTCTGTAGGCATGACTCGGATCCCCAGAACAATCCCGCAAACCACTTGCTTTAACCTCAGCTCCCAGAGAAAGTGGTTAGGAGCATCGCTTTCTGAAGTGTGGGTATTAGTAAGGATACCTGCAAACCTGCTGTAACACACCACACACCGAATACAAGGGCTTACATCAGAATCCGAGCTCCTTTCTCTCTGGCATGTCGACAGACTAGAGGTGACTGATGCCGGCTAGTGGGGCAACTCTGTCCTCTTCCCACCTTATTTTTCCACCATCCCCTGAGGTTTTATTCTCATGTGTGGTTAAATCAGAATCCTGCCACACTGTTATTCCGACGTCTGGGAAGAGGGGAAGGAGGAAGGAGTAATACATGTCGAATGTTTTAAAGCCAGAACTCAGTTTGGGATACCTGGTGCTCCTACTCACCTCCTATTGGCCCCTGCTTAGTCACATGACCATGAGTAGTGGCATGGGAGGCTGGGAAATGTAGTCCACAGCTAAGTGCCATGAACATAGGTAAGTCATGGAACTCTATTACTAAGAGGAGAATAGGGGCACCTGGGTGACTTAGTCAATTAAGCATCTGCCTTTGGCTCAGGTCATGATCTCAGGGTCCTGGGATGGAGCCCCACGTCCAGCTCCCTTCTCAGGAGGGAGTCTGCTTCTCCCTCCTGCTCATGCTCTGTGTGTCTCTCTATCAAATGAATAAATAAAATCTTAAAAATTAAAAAAAAAAAAAAGGAAAATAGTTTCCACCACAGCATGGCACATGAGGTGATTTTAATTTAGGTGGTACAAGTCATCAAATAACCTTGAATCTAACCTTGAACCACACAGAAATTTGGGGTTTTTTGTTCGGTGTTTTTTCTCTTTTAAGGAGAGAGTCTCAGTTTAGTGTTATCTTGCTTTGACACCTCTCTTAATGCTTGATAATCTTTATTAACAAAGAGAACAAGCCTTAGGCTCAGAGCTTCCATCAGATAAGAGAATTTACCTAGAAATGAACAGCATCATTTATCATCAGGGCAAGTCCTGTTGGTTTCCCAGAGGGAGGAGCTGGGGTTTATTATTCTTACATCACCTAAAACTATGTAATAATACAAAATAAATCTAGTTAAGATGCTTTTTTTTTTTTAAAGATTTTATTTATTTATTTAACAGAGAGCGAGAGATCACAAGTAGGCAGAGAGGCAGGCAGAGAGAGAGGAGGAAGCAGGCTCCCTACTGAGCAGAGAGCCTGATGCGGGGCTCAATCCCAGGACCCTGAGATCATGACCCGAGCTGAAGGCAGAGGCTTAACCCACTGAGTGACCTAAACAACCCGAGTTAAGATGCTTTTAATTAGAAATTTTTAACCTTGTTTTTTTTCTGGACCACCAACAAAAAAATTGTGGTACTTGGGAAGCATTTCCCCAGAGTAGTTTTTGTCTTCACTCAAGTTCTAGCTCTGAACATTACAGAAAAGTGCTTTTAGATTTTTAGGTTTTAAAATCATAAAACTCAGGCCCTGATGCCCACAAGAGCTTCTGCAGCAGGCCTTGGTCACCCTGTCGTCGTCTTTCTGCACGCTGTAGTCATGTGCCTTTGCAGGCTTCTTGAGAACCTCTTTCTTAAATACTTTTTATCTTTAATTGTGGAAAAATATACATAGCATGAAATTTATCATCTTCACCCTTTCTCAGTGTACAGTCCGGGGATGTGAGCCACTTTCACACCGTGATGCCACCATCCCCACCGTCTAGCTCCAGGACTCTTTCCATCTTGTAGACCTGGGTCTGCATTAAACAGGAAGTCCCCATTCCTGCCTGCCTCCAGCCCCTGGCAAACACCCTTGTACTTTCTGCCTCTAGGAATGACTGCTCTGGGGACCTTGTAGAAATAGAATCATAGAATATTTCTTTTTGTGACTGGCTTATTTCACATAACATAATGTCCTCAAGGGTCCTCTCTATGATGTGGCCTGTGTCAGAATCCCATTCCTTTTAAAAGCTGAGTAATAGGGCGCCTGGGTGGCTCAGTGGGTTAAGGCCTCTGCCTTCAGCTCGGGTCGTGATCCCTGGGTCCTGGGATCGAGCCCCACATTGGGCTCTCTGCTTGGCGGATAGCCTGCTTCCCCCCCTCTCTCTGCCTGCTTCTCTGCCCACTTGTGATCTCTGTCTGTCAAATGAATAAATAAAATCTTTAAAAAAAAAAAAAAAGCTGAGTAATAGTCCATTTATGTCTGTGCTACATTTTCTTTATCCATTCATCCATCTATGGACACTTGGATTGCTTCCCCCTCTTGGCTATTGTAAAACAGTGCTGCTATGAACATGGGTATACAAATCTCTCTTCAAGACTCTGTTTTCAATTCTTTGGGATATATATCTGGTGGTAGAATCGGTGAGTTGTAGGGTAATTTTTCATTTTTTGAGGAACCGCCATACTGTTTTCCATAGCGGATGCACCATTGTGCATTCCCACCAGTAGGGCCCACGGGTTCCAGTTTCTCCACATCCTCAACCAACATCTGTTCTGTTCTCTCCTTTTTTGATGATAACTATCCTAATGGGTGTGAGGGGACTGGGTTCTTTAAAATTATTATTAACAGGGGCACCTGGGTGGCTCAGTTGGTTAAGCGACTACCTTCGGCTCAGGTCATGATCCCAGGGTCCTGGGATCGAGCCCCGCATCGGGCTCTCTGCTCGGCAGGGAGCCTGCTTCCTCCTCTCTCTGTCTGCCTCTCTGCCTGCTTGTGATCTCTGTCTGTCAAATAAATAAATAAAATCTTTAAAAAAATTATTATTAACATATAATGTATTTGTTTTAGGGGTACAGGTTTGTGATTCATCAGTGTTACACAACACCTAGCACTCACCACAACACATACCCTCCCCAGTGCCCATCACCCATCCACCCCACCCCCTCCACTCTAGCACCCCTCAGTTTGTTTCCTGAGATTAAGGGTCTCTTATGGTTTGTCTCCCTCTGGTTTTGTCTTATTTCATTTTTCCTCTCTTCCCCTAAGATCCTCTGCCTTGATTCTCAAATTCCACATATCAGTGAGATCATATGGTAACTGTCTTTCTCTGATTGACTTATTTCACTTAGCATAATACCCTCTAGTTCCATCCACATTGTTGTAAATGGCAAGGTTCATTTTTTTGATGACTACGTAATATTCCAATGTATATATATACCACATCTTCTTTATCTATTCATCTGTCAATGGACATCAGGGCTTTTTCCATAGATTGGCTATTGTGGACACTGCTGCTATCAACATTTGGGTGCACGTGCCCCTTTGGATCACTACATTTGTATCTTTAGGGTAAATACCCTAAAGACATGTAGTGCAATTGCTAGGTCATAAGATAGCTCTATTTCCTACTTTTAAAGGAACATCCACACTGTTTTCCAGAGTGGCTGCACCAGCTTGCATTCCCACCAACAGTGTAGGAGGGTTCCCCTTTTTCCACATCCTCGCCAGCATCTGTCATTTCCTGACTTATTAATTTTAGCCATTCTGACTGGTGTGAGGTGGTATCTCATTGTGGTTTTGATTTGTGTTTCCCTGATGCTGTGATCGCTTCGGTAGCACATATACTAAAATTGTATTTCCCTGATGCTGAGTGATGTTAAGCACTTTCTCATGTGTCTGTTGGCCATTTGGATGTCTTCTTTGCAGAAATATCTGTTCATGTCTTCTGCCCATTTCTTGATTGGATTATTTGGTCCTTGAGTGTTGAGTTTAATTCTTAAATATTTTGGATACTAACCCTTTATCTGACATGTTATTTGCAAATATTTTCTCTCATTCTGTCTGTTGTCTTTTGGTCTTATTGACTATTTCATTTGCTGTGCAAAAGCTTTTGATCTTGATGAAGTTCAAATAGTTCATGTTCACCCTTGCTTCCCTTGCCTTTGGCGATGTTTCTAGGAAGAAGTTGTTGCACGCGAGGTCGAAGAGCTTGCTGCCTGTGTTCTCCTCAAGGATGTTGATGGATTCCTGTCTCACATTGAGGTCCTTCATCCATTTTGAGTCTATTTGTGTGCGTGCTGTAAGGAAATGGTCCAGTTTCATTCTTCTGCATGTGGCTGTCCAATTTTCCCGACACTCTTTGTTGAAGAGACTGTCATTTTACCGTTGGACATTCTTTTCTGCTTTGTCAAAGATGAGTTGACCACAGTGTTGAGGATCCATTTCTGAATTCTCTGTTTTGTTCATTGATCTGTGTGTCTGTTTTTGTGCCAGTAGCATACCGGCCAGTACAATCTTGATGATGACAGCTTCATAATACAGCTTGAAGTCGGAACTGTGATGACACTAACTTTGGCTTTCTTTTTCAACAGTCCTCTGGCTATTCAGGGTCTTTTCTGGTTCCATATAAATTTCCATTTATACGGAAATGTTCCATTTCAAAAGAAATGTTCCATTTCTTTGAAAAAATTGATGGTATTTTGATAGGGATTGCATTAAATGTGTAGATTGCTTTAGGTAGCATAGACATCTTAACAATGTTTGTTCTTCCAATCCATGAGCGTGGAACGTTTTTCCATTTCTTTGTATCTTCCTCAATTTCTTTTATGAGTATTCTATAGTTTTCTGAGAACAGATTCTTTGCCTCTTTTGTTAGATTTGTTCCTAGGTATCTTACGGTTTGCGGTGCAATTATAAATGGGATTGACTCCTTAATTTCTCTTTCTTCTGTCTCGTTGTTGGTGTATAGAAATGCAACTGATTTCCGTGCATTGATTTTATATCCTGACACTTCAGTGAATTCCCATATGAATTTTAGCAGTTTTGGGGTGGGGTCTTTTGAGTTTTCCACATAAAGTATCATATCTGCAAAGAATGAGAGTTTGACCTCTAACTTTGCTGATTTGGATGCCTTTTATTTCTTTTTGTTGTCTGAT